CAACAACTTTCATTAATTTATGTTTTTACTTTCCTCTTTAACTCTCTTGTTTCAAGATGGATATCGTGGAAGTATCTGAGAACTTGTCGAAAGAAGAAATGGCATCTGACAAGGCAGGGCTACATGACAGACATAATGACATCCAAGAAGAACACGCAGAGGTGGTTGTGGTGCAAGCTGGTTTACCAAGCGTGGTTGAGAGTGACCAACAGATGGACGATGGTCAAGAATACCCCTCTGGTTACTTCACCGACCCAGACATGGCTCCCTTGAGGTCACGATCAACCTGGCCGGAGAAACGAATCATGGGCCTCCTGGACATCTACATCAACGAGTATCCCGTCTACCAGAAGGCGAAGATGGAACGCCAGATCACCGAGTTCCACGATTACATCGGCCAGATCGTCAACACCGATGGGATCCTTGTGGCAGGGCTCCTCAAGAACCTTAGCAGAGAGTACCGCAAGTTGGTGAACCGTGGCAGCGGCAGCTCCTCCGGACCTCTCAAGTTGCGAGGGTCCAGAGAGCTGTTCCAGAAGTTCGAGCAGTACTACCAGGTTTACAGCAAGTTAAGCCCACAGGACTCGGGGGCAGGGAAACCTTTATCCAAATTCTCAAAGCCGAAACTTCCGAAAGGAAAAGCCTCTTATCAGGTGATGCCAAAGATCAAGAAACTGAAGAAGACCCCAAAGCCGATGCCAGAAATGACTTCATTCAACGCGATGATGAACCCTGTTGAGGTGAAGATACCTCCGGTTGCGGTCATGTCAGACAAATACTGTCAAGAGTACATTGAAGTCATGAGAGAACAGAATCACGCATTGCTAGAAATTGGCAAGGAACTTCGCCTGATGCGTATGGGCTACTTCACGGAGCATGAATTGGCGATGGACTGAAATCCTTATAGAGTCAAACATGTCTACGGCGATCGCCCAAGGGAAACACAAAAAGTGGTCTTTGTAGACAGGTGGTCTTTGTAGACAGGTTCCTTTAGTACATGTTTCAATGAGAAACCATGTTCAAGGGAAGCAAGAAATGTGCTTGTTGTAGACAGGTGGTCTTTGTAGACTAAAGCTGGTTTGACTGTATCCAGATGAATATCAAAAAAATGCATCCATTGAAATTTTTTACAAGTCATGAATTTGAACAAACCTAACAGTGTGCCATGTACATGTACATGTAACAGCATTCATAATGAATGTACAATGCATTGTTTTTTGACAGGCTAATACAGCAACTAGCAGTCATTACCTGGAGAATATCATTCTTCATACTGGAAACATGGACAATGGAAGTTTTTTTATTGTTATCGGAGATGAGTAATATGCATATACAACAGGGCTTAAATTAATCGAAGGCCATGGCCTTTTGATTGGCCTCAATGCCCCTCTCATTGGCCTTGGAGATTTGTTGTGCCCTTTCAAATTCTTCCTATTTGTGCTGTAATATAGGAATGTGCCCTACAGAAAAGTGGCCTTGGCCTAAAAATATTGAAATTTTTAAGGCCTAAAAATATTGAAATTTTTAAGGCCTGTAATGTACCTGTCATGTGGAGAAAAAAAATTGATATAAACTTGGTAATTAATGTGACAGGGGTTGGATAAGATCATTAGAGGCCACCTCAGGAATAAAATAGGCAACAAATCTGAAATAAAGAGGTGTTTTTTTAGGTTAAACTAAGCATGTCATTTGTACAGAGCCAGAAGGTTTTAGTATTAAGTGTTGGAGTTAATAATAATAATAATAATTATCCTTGCTTATATAGCGCCTAACACTTCCTATGCAGAAGTCTCGAAGCACTCTACAATAATTCAGCATAATTACCCTGGCTTTAGCAGTGCAGCTGTTATGCGCGCTGCGTTTCAAGGAATAAATTCCTACCAGGTACCCATTTACTTCACCTGGGTGGAGTGTGGCAAATGTAGATCAATGTCTTGCCAAAGGACATTAACATCCTTTTGACTCTAAGTGGACATTGTATTGTACGCATTGTGTTGTAATCTTGATGAAACAAGCAAATCCTCCATGCACAGTGAGAATTTAATGTCATTAAAATGTGGTCTGCAGGTGTGTTACCTGGTTTCTTTACTCCCAATGTTTTGTGAATATCCGAACCTCCCTGCACTTTGCTGGCTTCCTAGGGAGAAAAAAAATGGGGATAATACCTGTGCCATCCTGTGGAATATGTTTGATGTCCATCGATGTTTTTAATCTGCTCGACCATGATCTGCAGATAAGTCAGTAGACACTGTGATGAAGAAAATTAAACATTTAAGAATTTTTTTGTTTTCCCAACAAATCCCAGAAAATAGCAGAAATTCAAAAGTGTTACCAAATTAGTGTACAATGAGTTGGACTTCATTTTGGATTATCTTGGATGGGCTATACAACTATTGCAATATTTCTCATTGTCTGCAACAAAGGGCACACCTTTGCTTTGACAGCAAAAATCATCTCGTACACAACGCACAGAGATTCTCAATTTTCTAGCTGATACGAGGTCACAAAAGGTCATGTGACTGACAGTTTAGTTAATCAAATGTTTGTAAACTTGGTTTAAAAAGAGGTACGAGAAGTCTTGAAAGGAAAAGTCACAAAGTGTCGTATTATACATGTAGCATGAAATGTTGCTGTTAAGAATACAAAGGTTTTTACTCTTTTTGAGGCGCAATTCTTTTAGGGCTTCAATATAACGCCTTATCAAAGACACTGATAACACGTACATGTAGGGTTGTGCATCTCAGATTTAACATTGTTAAACGATCCCTTTAATTAGTTTTAAAACATACATGTACATGTATTAATGCAAGATTACCAGTAGCAACTCAAAAGAAGCAATGTAGACTACATTGTATGGGGTTTAATGTATGTCAACATTGAATACTTGAATGATTAAAATCGTCTTCACATTTTCCTGATGAAACTTGCAAACTTTGCTTGTTCTAATTTAAATGAGTCATCTATTATTTACGACCCAAATTCTCAGTCTCAGATAATAAATGTTTTATTATGGTAATGTTATCATTGTCATGGTATTTAATAGTGCTCCGCTAACATGGCGTAGTATGATTGGTTGTGCAGAAAGAGACAGAGAGAGAAACAGAGAGAGTGAATGAATAAAGAAGAGAGAGAGAGAGGGAGATAAAGAGAGGGGTAGGATAAGGCCTAAAATAAAAACTTGTTGTATTGCCCTTTGGGTGTCAAAACATGGGTAGGTCGGTCAGATTTTTTTTTTTTTAACTTTTTTTTTTGTCGCCCTCTTAGGGTCGATATTTTTTCAGATTTGAATGTTAATGTTGTTTTTTATTCTTTTTTCCCTGCCCTCTTTTGGCTGATATTTCCCCCTTTTTTTGAGTGCTTCAATACATCGTCATCATTCCATTGATATCTTTTTCATCTCATAATTATCCATGGTTTGCACGAGTGAGCATTTTGGAATAATTTGATTTTCTCCATTTAATATCCCATTTAAACAAACAAAATACATGTTATTTTATTCATTAATTAAAAAAAAAATCTAAAAAACGGTTTTAATTTTTTTTATTTTTTAAATGCCAACCGTAGATTTTTGGGTCGGTCGCAAAGGGCAATACTACAAGTTTATATTTTAAAGGCACACTGTCCTACTTGTAGCTACTTGCTCCCTCTATAGTGAAGACTTCCCAAATCAGTGCCTGTTGGTCCCCCATGATCCTCTTTTTCTTATGTTAAATGAGAGCTGAGTTAATGAGATAGCCACCTGTCACAGTAACCTCGCTGGCTCGCTGTGTGGTCTAATCCCTTCTGGCTGAAGTAGTAAAGCCTACCTTTAAGCCTAAGAGGAGTGTGATGTGATGGTGAGGAAATTGATAATTTCATGTGTGCACATACAGTATATGAATAGGAGGAGTGCAATGTATGTGTTTGATTAGAAAGAGAAAGTGAAGGGAGGAGGTAGAGAAAGAACGGTATAATGTATGAAATTATGAAACGAACCACTCGGATTTGTTTTGCATAAATATCGTTCAAAAGGACTGCATGGAATTCAATAATCAACAACAACTATGAAAATATGCTGCTTGTAAGTGTCGGCTTGCATGGTGATGTAGATATACAGTAGTAGGCTTGCGGGTGCACCCGCAAGCCTACTGTATAACTATGATAATGGAAATAAAACAATAACATGAGTACCTGCACATGACTGCATAATGATATAATTGTACATGATTTTCTATTTAATTACTTTTGTAAACATTTTATTCATTGTATTTGTTGGTGTTCGACTTTTTATACTTTGAATTTGAATTTGTATCTTTTTTAACGCAGAAATAAAATCAATCAAACAAAACAAACAATAATAATCATAATTATCCTTGCTTACCGGTATATAGAGCGCCTAACACTTACTTTATCAGAAGTCTCTATTACGCACGCTGCGTTTCAAGGAATAAATAAGCAACAAAAGAACATATGATATCATTAAGAAAAAAATGACTTAAAGGTAAAGACCAGTATTGGAAACGCCCCAATTTCAAAAAATGAAATGGAAGCTCTCATTACCAATCATGTGAAAGAATATGTTTTTACTAATACATGATGATAAAAAATTTGCCGGGAAACCGCCTCCTAATTCATATATTTGGTAAATTTGTTTCTCTCATGGTCTGTGAGAGATATAGGGTAGTCCCATATACATCTTTCTGTGTATAGTGCTTGTAACTTTACGAAGAATGGGCCAAATTTCTTATCATTTTCATGATTCCAGAACCTTGCAGATGCTAGATGCTAGATGATCAACCTTTTCTGATCGATTCCACAACGTTTTTTTCACAATGCAATCGCATGACCATAACTGGTCTTTACCTTTAACCTTCCATATGTACAATTGTATATGATAGCCTATCATTTTTTGTTTGTTTCTGTTGCTCACTATCATTTTCTAGTATTATGATACACATAACTCTCTTTACTCTTGTACATGTTCATGTGCTAATAATTTCAACATAATTTTATCATTTCAGTGTAACCCAAGACCAACTAGACAAAAGGTCTTTTGAACTACCTCCTGTCCTGCTACACCAAAGCTCATCTCTTGCCCGTTATAACAACAGGTGATCCCAGTGCCTGACCTTTCACCTAGGACCCCTACGCCTTTGACCCTGCAAGCGACCTCACCCACACGATGAAGCTCGAGAAATCGCCCAGCTCAGCGAGCCTTACGAACGGGGATGCCGCAGATAAGCCCAGTACCTACCACTCCTGGTTGCACAGCAGAGGGGTGTGGTTCTCTTACATTGTGGGCGTGTACGGCATGCACCTTTTCCTTCTCAGTTTGCCTTTCTTCAGTGTCAGCACAGTGTGGACACTGACAACTGTGGTACACAGTGTGGTAAGTTGAAATGAAGGTTTGGTTTGTACTAGTAGCCCTCTTAAGGTGTGGCACTCTGAGGGTGTGGCTCACTCAAAGAAGGGATGAGACACTTGATAACTGATACACAATGTACTGAATGTGTGGCTGCCTAAAGCGTGAAGGCAAAGTTAACACACTGTGAACAGTGGAGAATGTGGACACTAACAGCTATGATACTCAACGTGGTAAGTTGAAATGAAGGTTTGGTTTGTACTAGTAGCCCTCTTAGGGTGTGGCACTCTGAGGGTGTGGCTCACTCAAAGAAGGGATGAGACACTTGATAACTGATACACAATGTACTGAATGTGTGGCTGCCTAAAGCATGAAGGCAAAGTTAACACACTGTGGACACTAACAGCTATGATACTCAACGTGGTAAGTTGAAATGAAGGTTTTGTTTGTACTAGTAGCTCTCTGAGGGTGTGGCTCATTCACGGAAAGGATGAGAAGCTTAATGACTGTGATGTGCTGAAGGTGTGGCTGTCTAAGGGTGCATTTATCGTGTCTTGCCACTAGATATGTACATATCAAACCCCACTATTGAACCCCACTATACGATCGGGATTTGCGGGATGTAGCGTTTATCGTCTCTTCACGATTCAAAATAAAGGCATTGTCTCTGCGCAGCTGCTTTGCGCCGTTTGACCCAGGAAGCAGACAGTTTCTCGGAGGTCAACTAGACATGCTTGTACAACAACACATGGCGCGCTATCTGGGAAGGTATGTGGGGTTCAAAACAGCTTTGCGTTTATCATCTCTCAGAAACGTGATTCTGGCTGTATGTCACATTCAAAACACACCTTTTTGCATCTTTAGATATGCCCATGTCTAAAGACGTTTAAAAAAAAGCTTTGCGTTTATCACTTTCAAAATTTGCCTGAAAGATGTTTGAGAAACCTAGGCTTTCTAGGCAAAAATTTGGTCAAAAAAAGCACCCTAAGACATGAATGCAAGCAATAACACAGTATGGAGACTGTGGCCACTGACAGCTGTGGTAGTCGGCATGGTAATGTGAATTGCATGGTGCTACATTGCATGATAATCTGTGGCTGTCATAGGATGGATGTAGAGAAGGCATTAAGCCCATTGTCTACAACTCATGGTTGCAACACAGATGGGCGAGTTTTAGTGAGAGCACAGTGTAGACACTGTGGTAAGTTGAAATCGGGGAGAGGAAATGTATTGCAGGTTAGCGTGTGGCTCTCTTTTAGAAGGCATGAAGGTAATTTTTGCTAAGTAGAATTCAAAAGGAGGGTGAGGTTGTCTCCATAGAACATGAAGGCAAATTTAGCACAGTGTAGACACTGAAAACTGTGTTACACTTTGTGGAAAATTAAATTGCATATCAGATTGTGGCTTTCTCAGGGAATCTTTTTCTTTGAGAAGGAATGAAGGCAAGGTTAGCTAAGTATGGACACTAAAAACTGTGTTACACATTGTGGAAAATTAAATTGCACACCAGATTGTGGCTTTCTCAGGGAATCTTTTTCTTTGAGAAGGAATGAAGGCAAGGTTAGCTTAAGTATGGACACTAAAAACTGTGTTACACATTGTGGAAAATTGAATTGCATATATCAGATTGTGGCTTTCCCAGGGTGCAACTCTCTTCAAGAAGGCATGCGGGCAAGGTTGGCTCAATGTAGACATTGATTGTAACTTCACTGCACAGTTTGAGTACATTGGCAGGGTTTGGTCTGACAGGATGTAATCAGCTCTTAGCTCCCATGGATTTTTGCCCTCCCTAAACCAGGGGTTCTTGGGCAAATACCCTTTGAAATTCAAAATGATTTCCTTGATATACTGTACATGTAGTGTGGATACATGTATGGTGGAAACATGTAGTATCGCACAGGAGCATTAGCCCTGGTTTTCAGCGCTGCTGAATATGCTGCACAAACATGGTGCAGGAATACCAGAAAGCTGGGCTGTGCACTTCATGATGCCATGCGGCTCATCACTGGATGTCTCCACTCTACACCCACAGATCTCCTCCCAGTCATTGTAGGAATTGCACCACCAAGGCTACGCCGAGAGAATCTTACAGACAAGCTGACAAACAAATCCCTTGCTGATGACGATCACCCCCTACACAATAACGACATAATCCCAAGATTTAGGTCGCCAACGCCTTCGATCGCGTCGACCTCTCTCCTGACATGCAACCGCCCTCAGCAGATCAGACTTAAGCCTAATCCAAGAGTGGGACAAGAGCTTGGTAGGATGGCTCGCCCATGACAGTTCACTGTTTCCCTGGCACTAAAGCTCTGGCTGGCTCAGAGCTAATTCAGAGGAATAGGGTAACCGTAACACTCATTAGGCTGCGAACTGGGGTTGAAAGATCCAATGCCAATATGTACCGTTGGGGACTTCGGGAATTGCCGGCATGCATCTGTGGTGCAGATGAGCAAATGGCAGACCATGTCATCTACAACTGCCCTGTTCTCAAACCTCCTGACGGGATGACTGATCTGTCAAGCCCAAATTATGCACACGTCAACTGGCTTACCTAGCTTCAAGAGATAACTTGATATATGATACTACTACCTCATACGAAAGAAGCTTAGAGTACTTGACTAGTTTAATTTTGATTATCTAACTATCGTTAATTTTAATCGACATTAAAACTGATTTGTGTTTCTTTCCATCCTTCCTGCAGGTGACATACTTCTTTTTCCACCATGTGAAAGGGTCCATCTGGGCAGACAGCCAAGGCAGCGAGAGATATCAGACGCAATGGGAACAGATAGACAACGGAGAGCAGTTCACATCAACACGAAAGCTTCTCACCTTGGTTCCTGTTCTCTTGTGAGTATATTATCCTCAAAATATCCTCAAAATATCCTCAAAAGGCTGGTCAGACCGTAAAAAATAATGATAACAATGATGATGAATTGTTCCCAAGTTGTTCCCCTGTTGTAAAAGTGGTACAAAAAAAATTGGAAATCTTAGAATGTTGGGCTTCCTGGGGTAAGTTTCAATTGTTGTAAAGAAATGTTTGGCTTGCAACCATTAGATGAAGATCGCATGATTAATCTTGTAGTTGAAATATGAATTCAGAAGGAGTCAGGAGAGCTGAGTTAAATTGATTCTAGATCATCATGACTGTGCCATTGCCTGGTGCTAGAGTTGTTCCCCGGCAATCAGCAGATTAAAATCCAGCTGGTTCAAAGATTTTTTCTGACTTTATATGCTTTTTCCATCTTTATCTATTGGGTGCAAGCCATTTTTTTTCTTCAATTGAATTGGAAATTGTTTAAGGTCAGACGTCGACGGTTGTGGTATTAATTGGTATGAGACTCCATGGAAACAGATAGTCAATGGGTATCAGTTAACACTAAAAAAATACTCACTTTTTCATTATATTGTGAATACTCTTGAGTAAATTCAGAACTTTCAGAGCCGGTCAGACCGTAAAAATACCAAGAAAAATAATTCAAATTATAAATTGTCTTTAAACCCCATCTGCACTAGTTTGGCCAGGAGGGATTAGACCTCCCTGCATGGTCACTGACAGGTGGTTATCTCATCAAATCAGCTCTCAATTAACATAAGAAAAAGAGGATCGTGGCACGAAGAACTTTGCGCATTGAACGCTGTACAGCGAGTTTACGCGCTCTCATTGGCCAATCCGCTCGAGTGGCTTCGAATTTAAGTGCGAGGGGAACTACTTTACTTAAACGCAACTTAGCGCAACTTAAGTTCAATGGCAAAGTCAATACATAATATTACGTCACACCACAGAGATTTTGACACGTCCTGCTTTAAACAGGTGACGCCCTTCACACATACATGTAACTGACGCACACACGGCATTGCAAACACATAAAATAGAAAAATCAACAAACATCTCAGAATAAATTTCCAGTTTGTACCTTAAATATGACGAAAATGAGAATCGTTCAAACTTAAAGATAAAGACCAGTATTGGAAATGCCCCAATTTCAAAAAATGAAATGGAAGCTCTTATTACCAATCATGTGAAAGAATATGTTTTGACTAATACATGATGATAACAAATTTGCCGGGAAACCGCCTACTAATTGATTATATTTGGTAAATTAGTTTATCTATTGCAGTGAAAAAAATACACGGGGGCTCAGGGCGAATTAGCCCCCGAAATGCCCAAAAGAGCCCCTGAAAATCAGAAAAGAGCCCCCATAAATTTGCATAGAGTTCAATGCAAAACAAGTTTAAGAATGTTATATTCATGCGGGCAAGCTTGAAAAGTAGCCCCCGAAAAATAAATATTAATTTTTTCCCTGATCTATTGGGATGTGAGAGATAAACGCACGTGTCGCGCACGTGTGCGTAGTCCCAAATACATCTTTCTGTGTACAGTGCTTGTAACTTTATGAAGACTGGGCCAATTTTCTTATCATTTTGATGATTCCAGAACCTTGCAGTACACACCAATACTTATATGCTAGAAGATCAACTTTTTATGATCGATTCCACGTTTCTTTCACAATGCAATCGCATCACCATAACTGGTCTTTATCTTTAAAAAATAATTAGGTGAAACTTAAACTTTAGTGAAAATACTTAAGTGAAAAAATCATAACAAATAGAGGGTGTGACTGAAATAGCATAATTTTGGTATCGAAAAAAACGGAAAATCGCAAGCTTGTCCTCACATAAATATCTTATAGCATTGAGTGAATAGAGAAAAGCAATAGCCAGTCTGAAGGGCCCATGTCGGCTAGGCCAGGCGCCAGCTTATGAAAATGAGGCTGAGATCAGATGAGCGATCTGCGCATGCGCTAATTGTAAGCTAAAGTTCTTCGTGCCTGTGGGACAAACGGTGATAGCTTAGGCATTGTTTACTAAATAGAGGGCGCAAGTAGCTATAAGTAGTGCCTCAGATTCTAAACAAAATTCCGGATTGCCTCAGATTCTAAACAAAATTCCGGATTTAGCTCATGCTGCAATCATGATAATTAACCTTTGGGTCTGTCAGGGATCCAATGACTTTTTTAAGCCGATCGTCTGTCTGATTATCAAGATATTTTTTTTTAGCACTTCATGATCATTTTGAAGCGCAATGTGTTACAGGCTTTAATATTACACCATATCACAGACACCGATAACCCGCTGCGCCATGCTTCTCAGCTTTGTAAAACTGGAAACATTGTTTAACCATGCCTTTAAGTCAGGTAATAATGTGGAGCGCCAGGAGTGTCAAGTCTGACAGACATGAGCGCTATACAAGAATCCACTATCATTATTATTTAACATACAAGCCTTGAAATTACATTGTAAGGGTGTATTATTTTCGGTCTACCAGGAAATAGTCAACCAATGTAAACAGGAAATGTCACACTTGTCATTTTCATTTCTATTCATAATGCCGTACACTCTGTATACTATACACCAATACTCTATGAATTAAAGAAATGAGGTAATAATCAAAAAGCTGTTTATATACATGTATGTTGCATAATGTACATCTTATCAAAGTATGAATAGGTAGTCAAGAAGTGTTCATTTAGAGTTGTCCTTAATTATAGCTTAGGATAATCTGATAAATTTAATTTATTTTGTCAGAGTTAAGTGAAGTTTCCCAAAACATTATCATGTGGCAGAAAAGAGGAAAGCTCATTGATGACCAGTCTTCATTGATTATAACAGGCTTGAATAAGAGTGTTGTGACTCATAACCATTATTTCTTTGTTTTCTTTTGTTTCATTCATTTACTGTCAACATATTACAGTAAATTACATTAATACTTATTTTGTTATTATTGTTTCACAGATTCTTCTTGGCAAGTTTTTACACAAAGTACGGCTACTACCATTTCTTGATAAACTGTGCAGCCTTGCTTCTCGGAGTCGTCCCCAAGCTCCCCATGTTTCACGGCTTCAGGTTGTTCGGAATCAACAAGTACTGAAGCTAGTAACCACTTCCATCCCACTTCTGCATTCTCTATGGTGTCCTTGAGAGAGCGATGGTAAATGAAAAGACTTTAGGAGGCAGTCCTACAGGAGAGGGTGATATATACTGATCTCGGTAGAAGTTTGAGGATGATCACAGACTGTTTTTTAAACTACAATCTTTCCACAGCCTTTTAATGAATAACAAATCGTTATTTGTACGCTTCAGGTAATGTGTATAGATCTCTGATTTTGTAGGTCATATGTTTGGTGTACGGTATAGTGAATGGATCGACTGTGAAACTCACCCAACAGTATTGTGCTGGTTCTGAATTGAAGCTTTACATGGAGGGAAAAGCTGATGAAATTCAACAATTTATGGAGTGGTTCAAATGATGTATCGCTCATGGATACGGAAACCTTTGAAATATAAACTGTGTAAACAATAATAATTACTGAGTCGGATAAACTACATAATGTATAACAGTTGCATATAATGCTATATGGTTTAGGGGGAATTGTTTTTTATTTTGTCTTATAAAGAGAAATAAATGTGTGCTAGATTTGCCGAGCTTAGCTGGCACATCGTATATTTTGATTAGCTTCATTTTATTTTCATTTTTCCGCACTTCAGCATATGCAAAATGGGAGTTCAATGTTACAATTACATTTATATCATGACAAGAAAACAAGATTTATGAACAATCATACTCCTTTCTGCAATGGGCTCCTTGTATTATGTTACTTTGTTCAAGTCGTGTGGTAGGTGTGTTTTTATTTTAGTTTTTTTTTCTTTTCATTCCAGGAATATAAAGGATTATAAAGATAACAAAGAATACAAGAAAACTTTAATCATAATGAATACAATAACAACAGAAAATAAACCATCAACTAATGCCTGCGGATCACCAAAAGAAAACAGCTTTCTATATAAGGCTGTCCTCATTAGCCGATGATGTAATACAAAGAAAAATCATTATCAAGAAGATGAAAAGAATTGAAGATTACAGATATGAAATAGGTTGTAGTGTAGTTTTCAGAGAGAGAAGCTGCCCTGTTTAAAGGATGTCTGTCTTGCTTTTGTATTCTGTATTCTGCTTATAATGCAGGGCCCCCGTAACTTAGAGGTTTGTAATCAATTGCTTATTTAAAACCGCGATTCTGATTGGTTAATGGTCAGCCTTTTGAACAATAAGAGCAAGCAACAATGATCTTCATTGGCCATTGTCATTTTGCAATTGATTGCAAATCTTTTTTTTTCATTGGGTCCTGCAGTGGTGATGTCAGCTAGTGTAAAGAATTAATAAAATTCACTTTACGGTTTGCAATTTGTTAGTGAGGTCATCTTTATGGAAAGAGACTTTTGCGATTTACAAAAATACAGTTGAGATCTGATCATTTAACAGCATGAAACTTCTACAACTCTTTACTTCTCGTGAAAATTGTGAACATTTGATGCATGCAAATTTTCCGGTATTACATTAGCAGGCCCAAGTAATAGTGCCATGGCTAATTTTGGCTACTGATCATTTTTGCTTTTGCCCTTTCGTTTTCTGACATACTTTATTGCAGTCAGTTGCAAAGATACATATATTTTGCTCTTGTTTCAAGACAATTATGTTTTCTTATTCTTTGCTGCCGATATCGTCATTGTTATTAATTCAAGTTTCTGACCCTCTCCTTCCGAGTACCGGTAGTATAATTACCAATTGATTTTTATAACATTTTAAAATATATTTTGGGGATCTATCAACTTATTTAGGATATGTAATACTAAACGTAAGAATAGATCGTTATGTATTCAAGAATTTATCATGCGATTATGATTGAACAAACTTCAAGATATTTATAATGTTCTTTTTTACATTGTTTAATTCATGGTAGAATGCTTTACATTTTGCTATAACAGGTCAGTTCCACACACTATTGTTGTTTTTAAGTCAATTTTTATCTGTTCTTTCTGATGAATTGCAGTGTAAATTTAAACATTATGATTGGGAGGGGTTGATAAAATTTGAGTTATCGTGCTAAGATTTCCCAATTCCAAAATGCAAAGTATTTCGATTAAAAAATTCTTAGTTGCATGGTCAGACAATATAGGTATGCAGTATCCTTATTTGACATTAATTCAATGCACATATTAGATTTGTATGGGTGTGTGTCACAAAAACTCTTAAATGCACAACTTTTATACATGCAGGAGAGTGTATAGTTTAAGCTTTATACTTGCTTCAGTTTTACCTGCTGTTTCAGTCGGAATTTACTCAAAATTAAATCTGGGGGGTGTTTAACAAAGCCTTTTTTCAATGAAAAATGACAAAAATCAGTGACAAATCTGCTGATAACCAATCAGAAGCAAGGATTTCAGTAGCTTATAAAAAAAACTGTCATTTGTCATTGATGACAAGTTTTGTGAAACGCCCCCCTGTACACAGATGGTATACCAGCATGTTGTGTGTCCAGACAGTTGCTTTTCTGGACTCTAGATTTCAAATAATGATTTGAAGAATTTTCCAATAATGTTTCATAAATCTTTTAAGATGTGTGTTTGATAATATTATCAAGGACAAATATCTATAATGGTTGGTGTAAATGATGCTTATTTTTTTGGAAAATCCAACCCCAAACAAGACTGCTTTAAAGATTAAGTTGGGTTCTGGTCATGCGATTGCATTGTGAAAGAAACGGTGTGGAATCTATCAGAAAAGGTTGATCATCTAGTATATAAGAATTTGTGTGTATGGCAAGGGTCTGGAATCATCAAAATGATAAGAAATCTGGCCAAGTCTTGGTGAAGTTACAAGCACTGTACACAGAGAGATGCTGTACACTGTATATGGGACTACACGAACATGTGGCGTAAAAAATTCTACTCTGGATTTTTACTATGTTACATGATATATTTAGAATATGAATGCATTTGAAGACCCATGCTTTTCAGGGAACATGTCTTATCTGATGTTCTTCCACACTTGCATAATAAGAATGACAATGCTCACAAATTATTTTTCACCTCTTCCCAGAACTCAACCTTCTCTTTAAATTCTCTCAACTGTCCGGACACACACCTTCGCCCAGACTAGGAGACTAAAAGTCCACCTGACTGAAGGTGCATTAGACAAGACTGAAAAATTTGTCTCAAGAGCCTGCTGGCTATTCCTCGGAAGTTTCCTGAGACATATATTCTTACTATCACGGGCTTGTGGGCCATGGAGTGTCTGAATGGCAGTACAAGGTACTAAAAATACTGGTACTTTCACAAATTTTGCAAGATGGCCTAATGACTGAGAAATTGGTCTGAAAAACCTTGCTATTCTTGTGAGGCTCCCTGAGACTGATACTGTTACTATCATGGGCCTTTGGTTTGTGGACCGTGGAATGTCTGAATGGCAGTATTGTAACACCAGATACCTTTTAGAGATGGTCATTTTCATGACTGCAGAAACACTAGACAAGACTGACAAATTTGTCTCGAGAGCCTGCCGACTCTTCCTCAGAATGTCCCTGAGACTGATACTGTTAATATCAAGGGTTCTTGGAATTGTGGACCTTTGGAATGTCTGAACTATAGTATTGTAAAACTTGATACTTTCCCAACTTTAAAGAGATGGATGTATTTAATGCAAGAAACTTTCGGAAATTACAAAAATTACACAAATTTAGTATTGTGTCAGTGATAATTCAGTTGCATCCAGCATGTGCTCTTGTAAATCTGAACCATTCGCAGAATAAGTCAATGACATAGATTCTCCAAAGAATAAGCATCATTTAGCACTATGCTCACATATACATCAGTTTCTGGGAAATCAAGTATCCGTTGTACAGCACAGCTTCATCGAGACCAGGGTGAAACCAGTTTACGGTCAATGTGTTCGGCAGGATGCACATACAAAGTGTGATCTAATTATTCATGCTTCCTTGGTTTAGTGATGAAACGACGAATGAATAATTAAGAGACGTTTATTTTTCCTATCACTCTTTACAATTTTGATAATGTACAGGCTGAAATGTGTTGTATAGATGCAGTCAGACTTGAAAATGCATACCGGTATACAGTCGAACCCACTTTAATGACCACCTGTCTACAAAGGCCACATTTGTTGTTTCCCTTGAAAATGGTTTCTCATTGAATCATGTACTAAAGGAACCTGTCTACAAAGACCATGCACCTGTCTTCAAAGGTCACTTTTTGTGTTTCCCTTGGGCGGTCGCTATAGACAGGTTTGACTGTATTTCTTGAAATGTACATGTACTTCCGTTGGGTGCGTATCCATCCACGCCCTTTTGCCGGGCACACAATGGCTGCAGGGGTTATGTGGTCTAGGGCATCAGTCACCTGACTGAACCACAGGGTATATATGGGGCTTAAATCCCTGCCACAGTGCTATTGCCCTTTGGCAAGACATAAATCTACATTTGCCTCCCTCGACCCAGGTGGATGGGTACCTGGCAGGAATTGAGTTTCTTGAAATGCCAGAGCCATAATGGCAGCCATGCTAACGTCAGGGTAATAATTGTGAAGTGGCAGGAGTGTCAATTCTGACGGGCATGAGCGCTATACAAGAACCCACTATTAATAAAACAGGCTATCCTGTAAAACTGGGTTTCAAATTTAATGGATCAAAGTGAAATATTTTTAATGAAGATCGATTTTAATCACATTCAGTTGTTGTTAAGTCCGATATGAATAACCAGTTTTACCGTAATCGTTTTCATTTTTTGTACTTTGAATATTCAAGCCTCCTTCGATCGGGATGTTATTGATCAAAATCAAGTATAGGTGACTGACGGAACATTTTGTTTCCAGTTTTATTTTGTCTCCTGTTTTAAACAGTGATTTGCAAAGCAAGATCTTTTTGTTTAATACATATTTGTTTAGATAGAGCAATTAGTAATTCTGTATCAATTACTTCTAATTCATCGTGACTGTGCCATGTGCCATGGACCAGTGATGGCCTGGTGGTAGAGTCGCTGCCCGGCAAGCAGTAGATGCAGGTTCAAGTCCCGCGGGTTCCAAGATTTTGTCTGACTTGTTTTTCAATACAGATCGATCAATCGATCTTATTTACCGGGTGTAAGCCACAAATATGTTTAAATAAATACTTCTTTATAGTTGTTCACCGTCATCAAAGAAGTTATTTACAGAGAATCTAATAATGAATAAAACCTTTAATATATCATTGTAGATAAATATATGTATGAAGGGTTTTGCACCGACCAGTAAAATCAGTGTATGTTATGCTCTGCACAAAAATACCTGGATGACTGTGCAGTATTTCTCCATATCTCATGCTTTGCTTTCTGGAGTGTGAATGTGTCAAAAAGCAAATTGGAGTTTAAATATGCGAAGGCTAATACGATGGATGTATACACACATTAATATTGAAATTAATTTTTAAAAATATAAAGATTTATTCAGGATTATTGATGTTCTAGAATAGAAAGCACATACATTAATGATATTAATAATAATGAATGGCTTTTCTTTTGTGAGATACAAGATTGAGTATATCACTTGTTGTGCTGACTCGTGAAAAATGCTCATCAGCCATTGGGATATACCCTTGTATCCAACTCAAGACCCTTTACTATTATATATTTTTCTTGTGCAGATACACAGGGAAGGATTTAAGGAGAAATTGTGGGCTTATTACAAAGGAATCTGTATTTTCTGGTGTTTTAACATGATGTAAATGTAAACCCTTACTTGAGAAATTAAAAAAAAATTATGTTTTGGGGATTGATGACTTGGTCGTTATATTTTGCCTCATTTATTATGATATATATATATTGTGAAGCTCTTTTCTTAAAAATGCACTATTTTCTTCTTCCACAAAAATATAAATGTCTTTATACATGCAAATATATGTTACTTTATTCTTTGTTTTGATTACTTTAATAAAAGAAACGTGAATAACGATTTGTACATAATATGATTCATACAAGAGTCTCATGGTTGTTATTTTGTTACTGTTTTTAGTTTTGCTTTGTAATTATGTGGTATAATATATGTACTTTGTTATATGTCAAGCTATAAAACAACACATTAAACATGAACATGATTGCAAAGAGGATCAAGAAATAAATTCAAGAGCTATTTCTAGAGATAACAAGGAGCAGAAAAATAAGGAGGCAGAGTTATATAGGTAGCCCAGCAAATCAGTCTGGAAAAACAGAAATAAAAAAAGTGAAAGGCATAAATATTCTCAAAAAGAATGAAACGCTAGCTGAAAATGCCCAAAAATCAACAGCAGTCTACATGTATTTCAATCAGGGATATATCTTCTGCTTCACCCAACCCCGGAGGAGATAACGAGTACCGGTATTGAAAAACTCCAAGCAGATAATTTTTTTTCTTAATTTCTAGAGTGATTCAAAGTTGAGATTGCTTGTATAGCTAGAGAAAGAGAGAGGGAAGGAGCAAAAAAAAAAACAGTTCTCGCTCATTCTTTGTATTTTCAGGTAAAAGTCATTGAAATCTCAGATAATCGGATTTCTGAAAAGAGAGCAAAAACATCCAACGAATCGATGAGAGAGGGGAGACTGCATGTTTCCTCCACCCAGGCCGGCCGGGGAGATTCCAACTCCCTGTTCCTGATCCCCCATCCACAGCACTCCTAGTCGCTGCAAAGCTTGACGTGTATTAAACCTACATTTGTGTTCTTATATTTCATAACTGGTTAGGCCTATAGCTGCTTTTTTACACCTGGGCTTTCACTATTTGCCCTCTATCTTGTAATCTAACCCTGTGCACATGCAGGGGCGGAACAGCCGGCCGATAATTCGCTGGGGGGGGGGGGGGGGGGGGGGGGGGGGGGGGGTAGTGAGCACAGATTTTTTTTTTTTTTTGGGGGGGGGGGCCTTTTGAAAAATCGCACACCCCCCCCCCCCCCCCCCCTTGAGCGCCAGGGGAGGGGCCCATCTCCAAAAAAAGGTAAAATTCAGTAACGTGTTTTTACACATTTTTCCCCAGGGGTGGGGGCCGGGCAACCCCCCCCCCCCCCCCCCCCCCCCCCCCCCCCCCCCCTGGATCCGCCACTGGTTTTAACAACCTTTCGAAATATTCAAGAGATTTTGCTATTTTAGAATGGTGAG